TTTTCTTTTTCTTTTTCTTTTAAAATGTAATTTCATTAATAATAACAAAATCTCAAACATTACAAATATTTCTAGAAGCGAGAGAACACCACTTCTGTAGTTCAAGACATAAAATTTGCTATCATAAGTAATAGAATTTGTTGATTTTTTTAATAAGCGCAAAGAATTATTTAAAATTCTTTTGAATAATAAGAATAACATAAATGATAATCTTCTGAGTGGTTATGTGATTTTGGACGATGAAATAATTGCTTTGAATTTTCTATACCTAAATTGCTTTTCAAGAACATGACATATACTCTTTCTATCTCTAATTGATTGGCACACTTTGTATTTTACAAGAATTAAGAAAAAAAAATAGTTATTTTAGTTAAAAATGTAAATTTGCATGTATTTTTTCAAATTATATTCTTACTTTAATATGTGATATACTCATTAATTTATTATTGACTTTTTGCATCAACCAGGATTAATTAATTATCTAAGATTGGTTAATATGTATCGAAAATGACTAAACTTAGTCAATACTCGCATTCTCAATTTTTAAAGTGATTTTAGTGACATCGGAAAATAACAAGTAATTAATAAAATAAAAAAGTTGGTTTTAACAAATAACATTAAATATCAGTATAGTAGAGATTTAAGATATTAAGCTATAATTAGGGAGAAATAAGAAGAAAAGTGTGTCTGTTAATTGGGGACGGAGGGAGGTATGATGTATAAAATGTGTTCTAACTACTACATATCAAAGGAGGAACATGCCATACTATTTGACTTCATTATTAAAAGATTGCTATCAATAAATAATCATCTAAAGTTTCTAATACATTATTTTTATTTAGTGCCAAGCCCTCCTAAAAAAAGGATAAAAAATTTTAAATATAAGGTGAATCCAATAAAAGAGTAGAAGGTAAGACAACGAATAAAGGACTAGAATATAGGGAATCCTGCTGATTAGCAACAACAACCTTCAACTAAATTTAAAATTAAATATTAAAGAGAAAAGATGATCAAAACCAGTTAGAGGTCAAGCTCAACCAATTAGAGGATCAAAACTAGTTCGAAAACATCTTTTGAACTAATTTTTAACGTTTTGACCATGCCAAAACTCTACCTTTATTAATTATACTTTTCAATAACATAGTACTTATAATGATTTTTAGAGATTGAAGGAGTTTTTTATCAAATGTTAAACAGTCTGATATTTAGTGTTTCATAGAGATTTTTTTTTTTTTTTAACAACCATATTCTTTTTTTTTTTTTTTTTTTTTTAACTTAATTTTAACGTTTTTGACCATGCCAAAACTCTACTTTATTAATTATTATTTCACATAAGAATAAGACTTATAATATTTAGAGATGAAGGAGTTTATTTTGATCAAATGTCAAACAGTCTTGAATATTTAGTGTTTCATAGAGATTTTTTTTTTTCTTTAACAAACCATATTCTTTTTCTTTTTTTTTTTTTTTTGAATTCGCTTAATCAAATAAATAATGTTATTTAAGTAAACAACTTTTTTTTTTTTTTTTTTTTTTTGAATTCAGCTAATCAAATAATTAATGTTATTTTAAGTTAAACAACTAATTAAACAACTATTTGTACACTTCTAAGTTCAAAGCTAACAGCTAAGATTTTTTTTTTTTTTAACGACCATATTCATTTTTTTATTGCATATACACTAATCCATCTTACATAATACTTACTATAGCTCTTATCATTCATCGAAGCTGTCAATACTTTAGAAGTGAATGTCGAAGTTCCAATTTAGTGACAACAAAACTATCCTTTTCTAATATTGGGGAAAAAAAAATATTATTGATGTTTTAATTTGACGGCAAAAAAAAAACGAAACTATTACTATAATACATGTGGTGAATCATATTTTATTAGTGTAAAAAGAAAATTTTACCATAACATATACAAAGTATGTAATTTTATGATTAATACCATTTTAATTAATATAATAAAAATCAAAAAGTATAACCAATTTGAATCTGATTATTTTCCAAAAAAAAAAGGTATATAAATAATTAGATGAAGGCCCGCGCATTGCGCGTGCTTTATTATTATTTTTTAAAGGATTATTTTATTAGTATATTATAATTTATACTTCATAAATTGCATTTACTAATAAATTAATAAAAACAAAAAGATCTTTTAATTAGGGTGAACCAATAAATTTATCTTTATACCAATAAATATAATCATACATATAAAGTTTTAAAAATGAAAAACTAATTTAAGAGTCTTGTTTAATAGTTCCTTCTAAAAATATAAAATCTAGAATATATATATGCATTGAACAATAACCATATTTTGCATTCATGATCACTTCATTCAACGGTTTGAGAAATTCTGTCAATCCCGCAAGTTTAGATTTATATATTAATAAAATTAAATCGTTTAAAATCATCAAAATCAAAGGAAATAATGTTATAAGTGTGAAAGTTTATATTAGTATAAACTTAGCACATACAAAACCTTTCTTTTCTACTTGAAGCTATATTGAAAAATAGAAAGAATTCATACTAACATAAAGTTTTGAGTACTAATAATTAATAAAGACCACAAAGAACACTAAAAAAAAGTAAATTGATGGATGCATGTGATTCTAAACAAATTGATGCTCAATCAACAGTACAAATCGAGATTTTAAAAAGAGAAGAATCACAGCTTCAAAGTTAGGTGGAATTTAAGTATATAACTTCAAATTATGCACAATTTTGATTGAATATCATTGCCAGGAAAAAATGAAGATGAAAGCAAAAAGCTTTTCTTGTAATACTATTAAATCTGAGTAGGAGTGTGATAATTAATGCTTACTTGCGAGAAAATAATTGGATTTTGAATGTAAGTAAAAATATATATGTAATTTACCAACTGATGTGCTATACAAAAAAAAAAAAAAAAAAAAAAAAAAAAAAAAATGCTTATACAAAAAAAAAAAAAAAAAAAAAAAATAAAAAATTCAATCCGTATAACAAAACTAACAAAAGAAAGAGAAAGCAAAGTAGTAACCATTATTTTTATCAAAAACAATCATCTTTATTTAAAAGTTGTTGTAACTATGATTATATAGTAGTATAGTAGATATAGTGGTTATTTCAATAAAAATGTCCATAGAAGTCAAATTATCTCTTTTAAAAATTTAAATTTTTTGAAAAAATTAAAGTCATTATTCGACTACGCCCACAATAGCTTAAATCATGATTATATTCAAATAATATTGGCTATTACCTTAAAATATGATTTTTCTAAATTAAAAATCAACATATTAACATCAATCATAATTATAGAAAAATAAAAGAAAAAAATTTAAAATCTAATTAAAAATTTTCAAAAATTTAAATTTTGCAAAAATACGAAATCAAATACAATAATAAAATAATAGTTGTAAGATTATATTAGATTCCAAAATGTATTGCTATTATATCTAATATATTAACTTTAAAATTAAAGAAACACTCATAACCATCCAATCAATATAATAAAGATAAAGAAAGAAAGATGTGAAAGACTGCAATTAAAAAATTTTCAATAATTTCAAAAAATGAAAAAGTAAATACCGACGAATAATACAAATAGGAGCTATTTGTTTAGTTAATTAGGATTAAATTTCAAAATATATACTATTATTATTAAATAATTTTTCATTTTAAAATTAAAGAAAACTATAATCAATCTTATTCATCTAATCAAAACTATAAAAAATAAAAAAAATTTAAAAAAATGTCCTAAAAAAATAAAAAAAAAAGATGAATACTCAAATAATAAAGTGCTAACTTCATCATTATTTTTACTTCAGTAATTACACAGCATGCACACTATACAAACCACATATTATATAATATCTATATAATAATATATATATTATTATTATAATATATATTATATAGTGTCGGTTGAATTCAAGGATCATTTTCAAGTTTGGCCCATTGATTTTAGTTCAGACCCCACTAAATAATTTAAATCCCATGTTTTTGAGTTGTTATTGACAGGTATTGGCCTTGACACGTTTTAAAACAAGGAATAAAAGGCATATATATATAGTTCGGGTTGAATCAAGACATTTTCAAGTTTGGCCCATTGATTTTAGTTCAACCCCACTAATAATTAAATTCCCATGTTTTGAGTTTTTTGACAGGTCATCCACGTTTTAAACAAGGAAGAAAAGGCAGCAATTAGGAAAGCTGACTAAAACTTTTTCGTGACGGTGGACAGAGAAAAGAAACTGAAAAGAAACAACACTCTATGGACCACTATTAGTGTAATAGTGGTCCTTATCCTAAGTTGAGATTAGTGGTCCCCAGGAAATGGACATGACATGACATATAAGGTGACCTGTATATGTTGTACTTTGGCCTATTGTGGGTCCTACATTTCTATTTGGTCCAATGACTGACTTTTCCACTCCAACTGCCCTCAACTTTGTCCACACTTATCCACTGAAATGAAATTAAAATCAGGGACTTGTGTAATGTTTTCTTCTTTGTGGAAAACTCACTTCTTTGTTTATTTTTCATTTTTTATGAAGATGGAGGAGATTTACAGAAACTTATATACCCTTCGAAACAAATGAATTATGATTAAAAATTTATTTATAAATAATTTCTAGTAAAATTTATTTTAAATAAATTTATCAGATATGCTATAATTTAAAATAAAAAAATTCAATTGAATTTCATCAAATTATATTTTAAATAAATTCTTAAATGACAATTTATTTGTCTTCATTTTCTAAAATTCTCTTAATATAATAATAATTTAATAAAGACACTAATTATATTTCTTATACACAATATAATATCTTGTTAGTTTATTAAAATATAAATAATAAATTTCATATAAATAAATACACTCACACACCTCTAATTAATTTATTTATTATTAATTATTTAAATTTTAAAAGTTCATATTTTAAGTCCTTGCAAAATAAGCTAGAAAGAATGACTGCTCTTAATTTGGGTCGAGAGTCCAAGTCCACCAAGGAAAACATCACTGCTAAGCTTGGAAAAGACCGGAAATTGATGAATGCTAAAACAAATATGAAGTTAAGAGATAATGCAGTCACTGGTAACAGCAAGATAAGCACTTTCATTCGTATTGAGACGTCTCTATTAAGCTAAGGATCAAGTCCGCCATCACTTATGCATCTGTGCTTGTATTAAACGTAACCAGATTTGCTAATGGAAACAATAGAATAGTTTTCCTCTTTCAACAAAAATAACTAATTGTTCTTTTTAGGATGGATAAATTCAACACGATAGGCTAAAAGAGAATTAAGCAGAGCTCAAAATTTGGAAGTCAATGTACTTTTCACAAGATAATACAAAATTTTGAAAAGAAAAAAAAAAGAAAACATCTTTTTAACTCGATAAAGCTTAAACTTCAATAACATACAAGAGCAGTGATAGACAGCCCGACTCAGCCAGTGCACGATAGTACAATGAGGTCAAGTGAAGAAGATACGTATGTACATGTTGATACCGTATTCGTATTAAGAATGAAGGGTTAAAAATGCATTTGCAAATCAGGTGATTGGGAGAAAAAAGATGTTGCTGAAGAAGGAAAGAAAAAAAAAAACTCTTGCTCAATTAAAGGATGCAACGAACCCGATGAAGAATACTTTAGAAAATGAAGAGGCTAAGGTGGAGCAAGTTCTTGACCGATTAAAGGAAGCAACAAACGGAAAAAATGAAGTATGTCGAGGTAAGTGATCTGCGATTTCATTTATACATCCTATGTGTTGACAATATTTCCTTATGCGGTTGATTTCTAAAGTTGTATATGATAAACTTTTGGCAAATCAATACTGTTATATATTGCAATAAAGTGGTTGGGAGGAGTGAGCAAATGGGGGAAGGTTTGTTTTATAGGTTAATATAGGAGTAAGAAGAGGAAAAGGGAAGGTCAGCCTAAGATTAAATCGGCAAACTACTGTGGATTCCGTAATTAATATAATTTGAATATAAGGGATTCTTAATTTAGTATAAACTGAATGTTAGTTGATTGATTAGAGCAACGAAAGCTGTGAAAACGTAATTGTAGAGTGTGGGTTTTGGATGGAAGTTACCAATTTAATAGAATAGCAGAAAGTTAAAGGTAATTGTAGCATCACATAAACATATTTGCTTTTAGTATTAGATGATGAGTTTATTCTTATGCCGTTCAGCAACGAGGTCAATACACAAAATGGTGGTAGGCATGACTGTGTAAGATTGCTAATGGAATATCAATAGAAAACTAAGAAGGATAATGTGGTGTGAGTTGCATCAAGATAATTTGTAAATTAATTGTTAGTATGTAAAAACCAATCGTTACTTTGTTTTGCAAGTATAATGAATTATTGTTATGCAGAGCCCAAATGTTAGGTGCAGGCCGTTGGCACTTAGAGCCCTAATTAGTGAGATGAACGAGGAACATAAGCAATGAGTGGAGGGTTTGGGGTTTGGAGAGCTTTTAAAAATGCCAAAAATATTGATAAATCGAAAGCTACGTTACTAGTTGTGTGAGAAATTTGATCCGAAAAAAGTATTAATCGAGTTACCATGTGGGAGCTGAGTATTGGGGATTCCTTCTGGAGGCAGTGCATGTGATGGAACTCGGACAAATAATGATCGCCAAGAATTGATAAGGCGTTTAGCGGTTGAGTATGCCGAGTGCAAAGCAGTGATTAAGGCAGAAGTTTTAAGGAAAATTAGGAACAATATGCGAAAACAATAATTCTAGCAACACTTCTTAATGTATTGCTTGGGAGTTTTTCTTTGTCCTATGCAGGGCAGCAGGTTTAGCCCTTATTTGCTGGAGGTTGTTGCTAATGTGGAAGCAGCCATTGAATTCAATTAGGCAGAGTTTGTGTTAAAATGGTGACAGATTTTTTCGCAAGTGTACGAAATCACAAACAAGTAATAAAAAGCGAGTAGAGTACCGTTCCTACAAAAATTGTATACCAGGTACCAAAATTGTGTTAATCTAATATTATTTAAACGACAATAAAAAGAATTATTTTAAGAAATTAAATTAAAAGAAATAAAAGAGAGTAAAAAGAAATTTTTGTTTGTGATTTTGTGCACTTGCGAAAAGCCTGTCAAGTTTTTGGCGTCGTTGCTGGGGATTGGTGTTACCAATATTAATATCAATTAACCTATTATTAATTTAGACATTTTTTATTTTTATTTTTTTGTTGTTTATTAATTGAAATATTTGTTTATATTATTTGTAGTTTTTTATTATTTTATTGATTTTTACTTTTGAATTATTTTGAGATGTTTCATCGATAAATAGTCACATATTTTAGTCAATAACACTCGGAGCCATTTTATGCCGCTTAGGCAAGATTTAACAAATTATTGGAGAGATTTTCTTATCATAATTTTATAGATAAATATCTCACTTACATATTCTACTTTGGATTAGATGAAGAAACAAGAAGTTGGGTAGATAGTGGATTTTCGACCAAGATTTAACTAAATGTTATTGGAGAGATTTTTCTTATATAGATTATAGATAAATATCTCCACTTACATTATCTACTTTGGTGATTAGATGAAGAAACAAGAAGTTGGGTAAGGATAGGGATTTTCTGACTACCGGGTATTCACCTTCTAGAAAGTAGCGTATGAAGATGTATCTTCACATATTAAAAGTTTGAAAAAATTAAAAAAAAAATGGCCACCGGTATTCACCTTCTAGAAAGTAGCTATGAAGATGTACTTCACATATTAAATGATATGGCGGATTTTGACTACCGTTGGCATTGGGATCCTTCACAGCAGGGTCGGAGTCACCAATACCCTCTAAATTTTAAGGATGAAGAGAAAAAGAAGAATCAAATTGCGGATTTGATTGCAGCCCTTACGAAATCTCACATGGAATTTATGAACGAAACTTGCAAGAGTTTCAGATCAAACAGGAGACAATGAAGAATTTGGAGGTACAGCTAGGGCAATTGGCAAATCCAGTGTCTAATAGATGTTAAGATGATGAGTGCAAGTTAGATTACGAGGAAACTTCATGTGAAATTGCACCTTTATAAGAAATAAAGCCTACATGTGAAGAATACAGCTCCTTTGAAGACGAATTAAATCTCACTTTCTTGTTTTCAGACACAACAATTAATGACCATGAAGAAAGTGAAGTACAACTAGAATGGGCATTGGGTGAGATTTTAAAAGAAGACAAGCAGAAAGCAATACCGATGGATGAGCAAATAATTGAGACTATTGATTTGAGCTCATCAATGAGTTTTATACATACACCACCTAAAGATCCTTTCTTTCCATCGTTGTTACTTTTAACAAATTGTGTTCTAGAAAAGTTCTTTCCCCAAGTTCATTATTGGAAGCCAGGTGTTATTGATAAGACGAGCATAATTTTTTCTAATCTAGCCAATCATGAGGGCATTTTCAATCAAGACCCACGTATGATGCTACATGATACATACTATGGGCGAAAGCCGTTATTTGATAAATTTCTCAAAAGTCGAGCTTAACGACGTTAAACAAAAGCGCTTGTGGGAGACAACCCATGTTTTACTTATTTAAATTATTTATTGAGTTTTTGTTTAATTTTGTCTAAATTTTTGTCTTTGTTTTGATCTATTTTTAATTCACTAAACTTACAATTTAGTTTTTGTATCTTGTAGAAGCTTAAAAGAGGGGTTTAGGAGAGTACACAGCCTGGCTGTGTAAAATGCCACGCCCATAGCTCTTCTACGCTCAATTAGGACTTCAATTTGTAGGTTCAGAGGACTCCACACCTAGCTTGTGGCACACAACACGGCTGTGTCAGAGTCCACACCAGGGTGTGTCACCTTGACACGCCTATGGTAGCTACACGAGTTTTGATGGCATTTTTGCAAGAGCCACGACCTGGCCGTGTCAAACGTTGCGGTCGTGTCTCGCTATCCACCCTGAATATTGGAGACCCAGAGAACTCCACGAGCATGCCATGGACACTACCACGCCCATGGCACACCAACACGCGACCGATTTGCTCTTTTAACAATTTTTCTCCTTTCTTTCAACTTTTAGCCATTAGATTCCATGCCTTCGTATTCCTTAAATTTTTATTGTATTTTTCAATACAATGGTGGTAAGGTGTTCTCAACTCTTTTTTTTTTTTTTTTTTTTTTTTGTTCTCACTCGTTTTTTTTTTTTTTTTTTTTCTTTTTGGCTTTTTTTTTTTTTTTTTTTTTTTTTTGGCACCTTGTGTTGATGATATATGATAAGTTTGGGAAATTGGTCTTTTTCCACACATTGGGGACAATGTGCTAAATTAAGTTGGGGGAAGGAAAATTTTAGTTAAAATTTTAAATTTTTTTACTAGCTTAATATGGTTCGAATAATTATGAGCAAGCTTGAGAATTATCATAATTTGTTAACTTGTTATAAATTTAGTTGTTTTCGAAATTATTTGTTTTTGAGCTTTAATTTTAATTTTTGACTCACATAATTCTTTGATTTAACCATTTATTTTTAAGGTTATGACTACCAAATTTTTATAGATATTATGGTATATAGGTATGTTTTAATCAAAATTTATTTAACCTTGGCATCATTAGAACAAATTAAAAGTCCTTTTGAGGCAATATTTTAAATAAGCATATTTAGAAAGAGATGATTTAGGCAGTTCTCATTTTGAACCTCATATTTATCCTAGGCCACCCTAATTTAAATTATGACCCTTTGAACCCATTGAAGCCTATATCAAAATTTTCTTATTTACCTTCATTTAATCTGACCAATAAACAAAGTTTAAATTCTTACCCTAATTACAAGAATGTATAATTATGACATTTAGCTACATTAAAACAAAAAAAAAAAGAATAAAAAGAATAAAAAGGAGAGTTAATTCATTGACGCTAGCAATTAGAGAAAAAAAAGAGAGAGAAGAAGATCACCCCATGAAATAAAAAGTAATTAAAATTCTAGTTTGGGGAATTATAGTACGAAAGTTATTATCAAAGTATTAATATTAAGAAGAAGAGTTCTTACCGAAAAATCTTTAATGTTTTGCTAGTAAAGTACTCCAAAGTAATGTTTCCTTGTTAAAAAAAATTATTTTGATATAATGAAAATCTAGATACTATGCATTCTTTATACTTTTTGTTTACCTTTTATCCTTTTTATTTGTTAAACTAAATTCATAACTGCATTATAATCTAAATACAAGACCTTTTGATTTTTCTAATTGTGTTGCATTTAAATTGTGGAAAGGGAATGACTAATTTTGTCTATGGGAATGTTGAAGTTTATAATTAACATCATCTTATTTAAAGGTTAATGATTTTTGTGAAATCCATATTTTTTATTTATCAAATTTGAACAATTATTTTTATTTATCAAAAATTTGTTGAAAACAATTATTTAGTGTTGAAGACCTTATTAATGTGAATACTCAAATTTTGAGGCTCAAAAAGCCAGTTTTTCCCGACTGTGAATATATAAAATTTTTTTCTACAGTGAATTTGACTTTGCTAATAGTGAATATTGACTTTGGCTAGCAAATAAATTTGAGGCTCAAAAAGCCACTTTTCCCAGATTGCTACAGTAAATTTGACTTTGCTACAATAAATTTAAATTTGACTTTTGCTACAGTAAATTTGACTTTTTTCTACAGTGAATTTTGACTTTGCTAAAAGCATGTTTTTTTTGACTGTAAACAGTCCGACCGGACCGAAAGCCATTTTGGAAGTTCCCCGAAAGTATGCCAATATGGTACTTAAAACGTCCAGGATGTCGCGAGGATCGCAGAACTGGTCCCGGAATAATTTTTGGAGGTCCGGAACTCCCGGAAAAGCCCCTGGAGTGAAATCACCTGCCGCCCTGGACCCGAAAATGGCCTATAAATAGACCATTTTCAGCCTATTTTGACACCCCTGTCTGTGTTGACGGACGATCTTTCTCCCTCCCACGCTCCTTGCGTTTTTCTTTACCGCTTTTTGCATTTTAATTTTTATTACATTATTGTTGTGATATTTGGCCACTAAAATTAAATAAATTAAAATTGATTAATATTTCCCAAGCGAGGAGCTTAATCTGGAATTAAGAAGCGGTCGCCGATTAAATCAGGTATGTAAACGAAACTCTGCCTATTTAATTTCAGCACTTTAGCGCTTCATGCATATTTCTCTTCTACCCCTAAACAATTCTATAATCGCATAAAATCATTCACGTCATTTGGAATTGGCAATAAACTGCCTCAAAATTAAAAATGATATAAGCTTTAAATGCCCGGTTAAAATTAATTAATTGTGGTATTAAAGTTTCACGTCAACTAAAATTCCGCTTAATCAAAAATCAAACTTTTTACGGCCAAAAGTCGTAAAATTGAACCATTTTGGCGAAACGCCTTAAAATCAATCAATTTCGGCTCAAAGCCTTAAAATCAACACTTTTCGGCCTAAGGCCTCAAAATCAACCATTTTAGCGACAAATCGCTTAAAACCGACATTTTTGGCAAAATGCCTTAAAATCAATTACTTTCGGTTTAAAACCGTAAAATCAACCATTTTAGCGACGAATCGCTTAAAATCGACATTTTTGGCAAAATGCCTTAAAATCAATTATTTTCGGTTTAAAACCGTAATTTTGGCGACAATCGCACAATCAACACCTTTTGGCAAACAAACTGCCTAAATCAACTCATTTTTGCAAGAAGCCTTCAAATAATCAATTTTGGCGACAATCGCCTAAATCACATCAACTTTTGGCAACAATTGCCTAAATCAATCTTTTTGGCTAAAAGCCTTCCAAAATCCTTAAAATTCAATCAATTTTGGTAAAATGCCTTAAAATCAATCAATTTGTCAAGCCTTAAAATCAATCAATTTTGGCTCAAGGCCTTAAAATCAACAACTTTCGGCGATAAAATCGCCTAAATAAACTATTTTGGCTAAAAGCCTTAAAACATATTGGCGACAAATCGCCCGAAAAAATCATTTTCGGCAATAATAAGCCCAAACACCGATTTTGGCGACAAATCGCCCGACAACCGTTTTTGGCACCAATGCCTTAAATCCAACATTTTTGGCGACGAACGCCTAATCGAATCAATCGATCCTTTGGCAAAATGCCTAAACAAACATGCACAAAGCATACACACACTCATGCATTAACACGTCGACTTGGATCTTCCATTCAACACTGAAAAAATTACGTAGGCACGTTTTGGGATTTAACCCGAGCGGCAAGTCCAAAATCACATTTCATCGGTCTATAATCACATTAATCACCCTGCAAAGCATTCATTCAATGGTTAGTTCATCAGCATGACATAGTCCTCGGGGATCACCTCCGGGTTTCTCGCAGACCATGCCTTAACTTTGGGTTAATTAATCTAAATAATTAGGTTAAGTTAAAATTGAGTCCTTAGGGTTTTTTTTCCTAGTTACCTAAAAATAATTAAACAAGGTGGCGACTCACACATCACGTGCATTTCTTCCTTAGTCACATGCATCCATATGCCTATGATGTTTGAGGGAGGGGTTCACAGTTTGGCGACTTCACTGGGGATAGTTTATGTAATCATTTTGCATAAAAGTGGACTACAATTGTTGTGAAAACTAACCGGCCTTTCTTTAAGGTCTTATTTTATTATGCTTTGTTTTGCAGGGTACCCTAATACGAATCAAGTGTTCTTTCCTTAAGAATACATGATATGGAAATCTGGATTTAATTGAAAAATGTGATTAAGACATTAAAAAATTGTGATTTAATTTTGCACGATTGAGAATCCTTTTCTTCCATTGCATAAAAAAAATGAACTTCAAATGAAATTTCTTCTCTTTCTGTTCAATACTTCTGATCTGGATGCAAGGTAGCGCTGGATCGGCAGGTCCTTTGATTATGTCAGGACAGCCAAAGGCGTCCTCCCTGTCCTGAACCATCCCTAATCCTTTTGGGTGGCACATGGGTAATGCGTACCGTTGGATCCACGCGAAAACTCCTTGTTCAACAATGTGGGTTAGGTAAAATCCATACTCAATGGTTTCAGGGTCCTTGGGTCCCTTTATAAGCCAATTCTCTATTTGTGTCATAGCCTATAGAACCTATCCTTTAGGACTGTATGCACCCCGTGATATGAAGCATCTCATTGAAACAGATTATGATGTGTTGTTGTGCGCATTCACAACATATCATAAACATTGGGTAAACACATGGAGAACACATAAAATGTTCCTTTGGTCATGCACAGTTGGACAAAGAGTCATTCTCTCTCATATCAGCTACCCTGATACTACTATACCCTTAATCCAGTTACCCACATACATTTTCAGGTACCCCTTGTTCAAGTGCCAGCTACACCTACTGTGCTATCACCGACCTCACCAACTTCAACTACACCAATGGCATCACTTACTGATATCAAAAACCTCATAGAACAAATGGAAGCCAGAATGGAAGCTAAAATGAATGAGGCATTGGCTGCCCAAAGAAGCCCAAAGGACTGCCCTGATAGCTGAACTGGGCAATGGTAATGGAAATGGGGCTTCAGCTGGGGGAAGTGGACC